GCTATCTGATCAAATCGATTTAATCATTGTAAAACTATTGTAAGTTTTGTTGAATGTGCGTTTAGGTGCACCTGTATGTAAACTACACCAGCTACATTTAAAAATAAAGTTAATCAATCATCCACATGGAGGCTGCCACAGATGTTTTAATGCACTGTTGACTTGATTGTTTATCCTCATGAAATCTGATGGAGTCAAAGTAATATTTCCACAAACAAACAATAGCCATAGTTACATAAGGCATGTGTATATCCCAACACTTCCTCCTGTCGGCTCTCTCTGCTGTTCACATAAACACTTCGGTCATCAGGAATGTATGCTGCAACATTCTGGAGATTATAAACAGATAGAGCTAGACAAAATAGAAATACATACATTAGCCGCATTGCTATGTTGGCCGCAGAGTTCAAAGAAATTTAAAAGTATCGCCTCAAAGTCCAGAAATCATGGAGTAAATTGCCCTCAGACATACATTATAAAGTATAACCAGTATCGTATTGGGCTGTAATCAGCCAAAGAATTTCTTGGTCGACGAAAACATGTCCTGGCAATTTATTGGTCCACTAAAAATGGAGAGCGCCTGGCAAAGGCTCTCAACCATCCATCCATCCATCTTTGTTTTAATTAATAGAGTTTTCTTTGCATTCAAGACCAAAACAATGGCACATCATCAGCTGTGTATATCCCATACTTTCTAAGTTTTGCAGTTTTAACATAGTAATCTTTTAAAATTAAATGAAATATTTGATAAATTTATATAAGTTTTGGTTGTAGAATACAACCATCAACCAATCAACTAAACGACCAAAGACTGACACCCCTATATATACTATAATAGAATTTCACTTTGCATAACTAACCCCAATGTAATTAGATTATACTAGTAACATGTAACCAATTGTCCTTAAGGATGTGCCTATTTCATCCACCTTTGCTGACAAGGTTAAAGTCCAAAAGTCAAAAGTCTAAGCTTACAGAATCAAACACTGTGTCTCCACTTTGATGTGACTGACCCCCACCGTGTCTCCACAGCCTTTGACCAAACTCTGAAACATACCTGACTAATGGGCTGTGGTGGCTTTGCTGCGAAGGGAAAGGCAACATTTCTTAAAAGATTTCACAAACCGGCTCTTTCAGACCTGGCTTCCTTGTGCACTTCCTCCCAACCTTCACATATCCTCCCTGTGGCCTCCTCAGTCATCTCCTCTCCAGCCCATTTCTGTCCAAAGGCCCAGTATTTACTCTACACACTCACAGAGCAGGCAAGAGAAAGGGACAATGCAGCCTTTGAGAGAGACTGTCCACCCCACGGCCCGGTGTGGAAGTCCGCATGGGGGCAAGCCGACACCCCTTCCTCAAACTTCACAGCCGCCCGCCAGGAGCAACCGGTCATCTGCACATCAGCCCAAGAGTACTGTTTGTGCTACAGCAGTATATACTCAAACATGTATATGTGTTGGTCTCGCTGGAGAAAGGGTCCTTAGGTTAAATAGTGGATGTCAAGCCAAAATAGCTTAGTTACAATACTTAGTGGGTTCATTGACAAGCTTACTTTAATGTCTTGATAGCCAATAGGAGTTTAGGCAAATTAGCTCAACGTCACCTGCACTGATTGATTTTACTGAAGAAATTACTAATGGTAGTGAAAAAAAACCATTAGCATCAATCTACAAAAGCTTTTGATACCATTGATCATACTATTAGATTGCCGTAGGTGTCCAGAGGCTGAGTAGTGGATATATGAGTGCCACTTTTTATATTTGGGATAATTAAAACTTTTATGATAGTTTTATATAATGTCCCAATATTGTGTGATTATTATTAGTACATACGGACGCTTCTTTGACCACACCTTGGATCCTTTTCAAGAAAACAATAGGAACAGCCAATTCTTCCGTTCTGCAGATAGTACAAGTTGTCAATCTTCACCTCTGTCTCTGATTGCGCCTCCTGACTCGAACCACAAAGCTCAAAGTCTTGGCAGTGTACGGGTGGTAGGAATTACTGTAAGTCAAACAGACCCACCCAGTTCAGAGGAGTCGAGTGAACCAGGGAGAAATGTGCAAGAAACCACAGCCTATAACAAACTGGGGATCAGGTCCGCTCTGTTCATTTGCACTGCTAATGACACTGTTTGGCCTCATAACAAACTCCACAAAATCATTACAGCCACAAACACTTATATTCCCCCTTCATCATCCCATGTGGCTGCAGTCTAATCAGGAAAGTGCTGTAACGTGAGGTCGCTCATCAGTCAGTGGCTGAAAGAACCTCAACGATTACAACAATGTATGGAAGCATATGTTGGTTTAGGGAAATGTAGTATTTATGATCCTACGGTTTAGGAAAATTAAGAAAATACAGTTGCACTTATAGACAAAGTACATAGAACGGTATGTTTAATGCACATGGTTTAATTGTTTTATAATATTCATAATAATACATCATACTTAAATAGCACTTTTTGACACTCAAGACGCTTTACAGAAGAAAAAAATATAAGAAATTAAAAATAAACAGTTATGTGTAGGCAGTTTTGAACATGGTTGTGTTATGGCAGTATAGGTGTACATATGTGTACCTATTTTTGGAGGATTGAGTCAAATTAACAGCTAATATAATGTATGATAATATGAATAATAAACTGTAAAGAACATTTGCATCAATTTAATGGTGAAAATTGTAATTTGTGCGGTAGAGCAGGAGTATTGACTTAAGTGTTATCCCCTCTTGCCTTTTTTTTTCAAACCGTCTAATAATAATAACATTACAATCCATCTGTTGCTCAAACAGGATGTGGTAGCTCTTCGTGTGTGTCCAGGTTTGTCAAACGTATTAAAAACCACATATTGGTTGTACTATTGCTAAAAAGACTAATCCGCTCTCTTCACTCTATTATAAAACATGTTCATCTTGCACTTTTGTTGTGGCAAACACATAAGAAAGAGCCTCATGAGTCACTATTTAACGGGCTGAGAGCTGATTGGCCGAGTGAGGGGGTACTCTCTTTTTCACTTTCTTGTCTGAAAAAGCTGAGCTAAAGGCACAATCGAGGCCAACAATACATGTATGTGATAATAGTGATAATAACGCCAGGAAATGGATTGATAGATTTTTTTACTTCGATTTTAGTTTTTGTGGCTTAACGATATCAATCTTCCATCATATTTACACAATAAGCACAAACCTGATACAGAGCTGACATTGAGTCCCTTGTGTGTGGTCAGCTGAGCCCCCCCTGGTTTGGGTCGCTGGTTGGTGGCAGTCCGGTGCTGGGTGGCTCAAACCTGCTGACCCTCACAGATACAAGGGCTTCATGTGGCCCGTGTCCAACGCTCTCAAAGACTCCCATTCACCGCCGTGTCTTTCAACCCGGGACCGACACAACGGCACATTTGTGGATTTACAGTCACACTTGTTTATCTATGTCATTTTGTGCATATTCAAGGTGTTTTCTGCGCTAAGCATTGAAAGCTGGTTCTTGGTTTTAATGGGACAGTGATTTGGATCCAACAATGCTCTGATGTGTGGTGAGGAGCGGTGAACCCTGACATTGCTGAAAAGAAAGTTTGGCTTTATCCCAGGGGGGGCAGTCCCAGCCGTGTGTGTGCAAGACGTGTAGCATTATGTATAAACAAGCTGAAATTCACAGGCTTTTTGTGTGTTTACTATGTCGAATCCTGGATCAAGCATGGACCAAACCCTAACCCTTTACCAGGACTAATTACCGAGCAATTGAAAATGAAACAATAAACTAAAATTACAAGTAGAGAAAAAATAGTGTCTGTAAATAAAGAGAAAGAAGACCAAATAGCACCAGTCACAGCTGACAAAATCAAGACATGGCATACAGATTTTATTGTTTTTGGTGCAGTAGGGTGATAGTCTCTGAAATAGTTACTGTGTTGCCCAAATGAAAGTATTGTAGATAGTCGAATTATTTTTTTTATCTATACTGATAAAAAGTGAAAGTAAAAGTATAATTAAAGCAGCAGGCTTTCAAACCACAGAAACAATAATTTACGTAATGAAATCAATAAAAGTAGTTCCTGGCTGTAATTATAAAAACAGTTTGGTATCATCACTAGTTTCACATACATTGCATCAGTATTTTTGGCCTATTTGCATTTTTAGATGAGCTTTTTCAGACAGAAAAGAAGAGGATCACCTTACTCAGCCAATCAGCTCTCAGCCCCAAGCGTTAAATAGTGCACAGGGCTCTTTCCTATTCGTTTGCCACAACACAAGTACAAGAGAGAGAGAGTTTGTTTACATTTGTTTACAACATTTTGAGACAAACAACATGGATTATAAATGAAAACAAGTGATTTACCCCGGCGTGTAGATGGATCGGAGCGGATAGTTGTACCTCAGTCGAACATTTCCCTGTTTTTATGAAGATGTTCAACTGAGTGAAAAAAATGATGGGGGTCAGGATGTCGCCCAGTGAACTCAGATGCCTTGCCTGAGCCCCGGGCCAGGTCTTCGGGTCAGGCCACTCAAGATGGAGGGGGTGCAGCTGGATCTCTCTCCTCAGGGGCAGTCCTGGGGAGGGGGTCCTGAAAGGTCCAAGGGGTCTAAAGGTGCTCTCAGGGGGGCATCAGCGGCATCACATGTGACCGGGTGCAGAGTCCGGCCTGTGACCAGTGGGTGGAGTGGTGCTGGTATAACTGACCATCTGGATTAGATTGTAGACATTCCTGCGGAAGATTGTGTGAGTAAAGGTCAGAACGGAAAAAGAGGAGGGGGTCACCAATCTCAGCGTGCGTGTGTTTATTTTTCCCTCGCTGACGCTTGTGTTTCAGTTTACGATTGTGGTCGGTTTTGCATTGTTGGACAGTTCTGGGGAGGCAGAGGAATGCAGGGCTCACACAACGCCCACGTGGGAAATATTGCAGGTGTAGGAATCCCCCACCGTGCTCTTTACATCGAACCGTAGTATTTCATAAGGAAACGCCGCTTTCGGGCCTGTCTGACCGTGTCCCCGGTTGTTTGTGCAGGTGGGAGGTCTCCGGGCGCTCATCATGCTGTCTCTGGATGAGCCCCTGGACTTGAAGCTGCCTCGACGGGCTGGCGGGAGGGACCGCGGTGCCAGATCGCCCTCTCTATCCCCGGTGCACCCCAAACGCGCCCGCCAGCTGCACATGACCGATGACGGCACGGCCATCATTGAGCCTGCCTCTCCACCTTCTCCTCATAATGGTACGTCACAGAACTACAGCAATACACAACTCAGCCGGCTTATATGATCTTTTCACAAATATTAAAGCTGACCTTCAAACCACAAAAAAGTTTAACTATCTATTAAAATCCATCTGACTAGTCACTCACTCAGCCAATCAGCTCTCAGCTCCAAATAGTGACTCACAAGGCTCTTTCTTACAAGTATCCAATAAGAAGAAGACATGATGTTGTGGTTTCATTTGTTCATCATTTTACTTTTACCTTACTCTAGCAACCTCTACAGTTCCATACAATTTAATTTGTGCATCTTTGTATATATTCCTCCCCCAGTTGAAAAAGTTACATTGATGTAATCCATCCTGTGTGTTTTCAGAGTCCATTCATCAAACTCAGATGATCAGACTGCACCCCATTGTTCTTGGTTTAGCTCCTTCCCAACATATCACGTGCAAACTGAGCGTATTTCTACTCGCGTTATGGCAATTGGGAATAATACATCACTTTCTGGAAGTGGTACGACAGTGGTCCATGGAGCTATAACCATATTCTGGAGCAGACAGACATTTTGTATAGTACATTTACAATTACACACAACTCAATGTGCTTAACAACAGTGCAAAGTTAGGAGGCTCCCTTCAGGTTTAGTTGTTCATTTAAATCCCCATTACTTACAAAAGTGGTCTCTGGACTTCTTTATGTCTATTCTGCATAAAAACAATTCACATTTAACCGTTTAGGTAATTATTTTTCAGTAAAACACTTTCTATACAGCAACCTAACTTCCCACACATTTTTCACTCCATGTTTCTCTTTTTTTCTTTTCACTGATTTTAGTTTCAGGGCACCACATATTTTTAACCACCATACGCCGAAGCAAATTCTTAGTTTGTCACTTCCTTTGACTTACAATGGTTAATCAAATAATTATGATTCTAATTATAATGTGCTTGTTCCACATGAGATTTCAACATTACATTAGCTCATTTATCATAGTTCATTCCTGGAACATAATCTCACTGGGACTGATGTTTATATCTTTTGTCAGTGCTGTTTTACTGCAAAAAATGGCAACGCGCTGAGGCTCAAAGAGAGAAGTGGCTTGTTTTCCATATGGACTAAAACAACATTATTCTCATTTCACTTCCAAAGCAAAGTTGGACAAGTGACGAGTAGTTTTAAAAGAGTATGTACAGTATATGTCTAACCTGTGTATTTGTGCGTTAGGTGTGCAGGTGGTTCCTCAACATCGGACAGAGACCCCCACTCCCCCCGCAGTGGACCTCAGCATGTCCCCCTCCTCACGCCACACCCCCAGCTCGCCAGAAACATCCAACGGCTACGTCCCCTCAGGAGTAAGTACTTGAAGTTTGGCAAAGAAAAAATAAATAAAAATCACGAAACAGTTTCTCCAGGACTGTTGTGATGTCAGTGCGATTGTTGTTGTGGTTGGTACCGATAGAAACAGGCAGATGTGGAGTGAGGTTTTAATGGGGTCTTCCACATCCCATCTACACCCAATCAATCCACATTTATCTGTATAGCACAAATTGTTTACAACCCAAGTGCTTCACAAGAGCAATTTAATCTGTGTTGCAATTAACAAACATTTCATATTTAAGCAGAGCAGCATCAAAGCACTAAAATGGGGGTTTAAAAAGAGATACATAGAACAAAAGAGCAACCGGATTTCAGCTCAGTCCGTCCAGTTTTTTGCCTGTTTCTTTTTGTCGATGGAGTAGGGTCTAAGGACAGAGGACGCCCAGAGACATTTGTTCATAGTCTTTTTGACCAACGACAACCAGGACAATTGCATTTTCTAATCTGCTATTTGCAACTCAAAAACAATTTTCAGTCGCTGCCATGGCTATTTTGGTGTGTTCAAAAATACATTGATTTAATTTCAATAATGTTACAGCGCTGAAACTGCACTACTAGTCTTTATCAGTTAACCCTTTATGCGCACTTCTTCACGTGTGGATCAATTTCTCACTTTCTAAAACTGCTTACGTGAGTCAGGGCCGCACAGACTCGTTGTTGTTGGGTCAGCTGATGCACAACAGCGACGGTGTCTGTGAGGAAATCAGACTACCCCATTAGCTTGTGACAGGGCAGGGTGCTGGGCCATCTCTTATCAAGCACCTCCTGTGTGTACTCTGTGGCCCCGCTGGCATGACGTGTGCGTGTTTCTCACTGTGTACACGCGTAATCCGATTTGAGACAAGGTACAGCCACGCAGACCTCACGCTGCCTAATTCAATTCACTCTCAATTGAATTCTGTGGCTCTGGCTGGAACCATTCAGCCAACTTGGTGGCCCCCCCCCAGCACATATAAGGGACAATGGCTCGCATAGTTTGCATGTTGTGTATGGTACTTCTGCCACAATGCGGGATCACCCTGCTTTCTTTTAGTTATGGTCAACCTCGCATGTTCCAGTGGCCTAAAGCGGCTCGCATACTTCAGCATGCACAGACACTGCACGGAATCGGTCTGGTTTACAGCAATTTGTCACATTCATATTTTCTATATTCACAGCTCTTTTTCTCACAAGATTGAACCTGTAATGCCTCGGTATGGAACACTGCATGGGGCTGTGTGTACGTGTGTGTGTGTGTTCGTGTGTGTACGTGTGTGTGTGTGTTCGTGTGTGTGTTTGAATGTGGGTGTGCCGTAGAGTGCTATACTAGCCCTTTGAGCTCCTGCTGAGGTTCAATGAATTTTACAGCTCCCATGCCAAGCTCAGGGATGTAGGGATCTTTGGTGGAGCGTGGTGGGTGTCTTCAAAGCAAAAGTACTGCTTAGAAGACAGTGAGTGACGTCAACCTCGGACATAGTTGTACATATACTACATACAGCAAATATTTACAGCAAAATGACAAGGGGATCTATAAGCTATTGGACTTTAAGAGATTAAGAGATCCTTTATCGGTATGAGGAGCACACAGCACAAGATTAGTGACAAATAACTCTGTACTAAATAAAACATAATGAAATCTCTAACTCTTGCATGAGAAAGAAACAAGTAGAAAATCTCTACACCGTGCGGCCGAGTGGATAGCTCTCTCGCTTCTCAGCAAGAAGGTCCGGGGTTCGGATCCCGGTCGGCATAGGGCCTTTCTGAGTGGAGTTTGCATGTTCTCCGCTTGTCTGCGTAGATTGCTAACATGCCCAATAGGTAAGAAAAGAGTGAGTGATTGAAGGCTTTGATGCACCAGTGTTCGGCGACTCGCTTCCGTCATCACCGTGTGTGGAGGGATTGGAACATTATAAGAACTCTGACCATTGTAAAGCGCTTTGGGTGACCTTGGTCTGCAAAAAATACTTTGCATAGTTGCTTTTATTATGTTTAATGACTGTATTGTTGGAAGTGAGTGTTCTAGTTGCTAACACAATACGGTACATGTGGTTTTATGAGTTGCTTTGATCTTATTTTCTGTGTGTGTATTTTATCGTACCAGAGAGACATCATCGCTAGTTATGTAACAGCCTGCAATATAAACCACTACTTTCAGTCTGGGGCAGGAGTTTCAGAGTTGTTCACTGATTCGTGAAGTTAATTAAGCCATATTTCCTCCTCTCATTCCCACAGAATTCTCTTTCACAAGCCTTTCAGTTCTTTTTGCCAATCGGAGCTGGGACCGGACTGCACCTGCCGTCCTCCATGTTTATGGGTCAGAGCAGCGACAAGAGAGCGTCCCCGGATCTGTCTGCAGACGAACAGCTGGCCTGCCACTGGAAGAAGGTGCCTCACAAAGATGCACACACAAAAACACAAACACACACACACACACACACACAAATCTAAACATTTCTAGATCTCCATTATCGAAAGTAAGTAAGGAGTAACTACTAGACCTCAAAAAGCACAGTTTATTTGAATAAGTAGTAAAATGTTTGCTCCTGCCTGTGCAGAAGTATGTCAAATTCCAAAGAGAAAAAGACAAAATGAATTGAAAAATTAAAATGCTCAATATGAGAAAAAACAATACAATATTTTACTGCAAGAAGCACACAGAGCATAAACTATAACAGAACATATATAAACAACTCAGCTCATTATGCTTAGAAAGATTATAAAAAGGATAATTATAGGGTTTTAGATGAATATTTGCAATGACTGACTGCGACATATGAATATGCACAGAATACAAGTGAAACTCTGAAAATTAGATAATTGTTCAAAAGTCCATTTATTGCTGTAAAAAAACGTACAAGTTAAAACCATGAAACATTCTGCAAAGCAACATATGTCAAGCCTAGTTTGTTTGATGATTCTGGCTTACTGTCCTTTTCTCTCACTTCTCTCTCTCTCTATCTGTATACTTGTATCATGTTTTCTTTGTTTTCTTTTTTTTTACAGCCTTTGAGCTAATTAGTCTTTCATATATTAGTTTTACATTCTAAGTTATATTACATTAAATGGACTTCTAAACAATATTCTAATTTTCCGAATTCGCTGTATATAGACGATATCGTGTGATAAGTGTGACACCATAAAGCACATTATTACGATAAGTAATAAATGTCACTTGTAGAGTCAGGAGTTTTGTTGTACAGTTCAACAGGGAAATGACAGAAGCTTTTTACGATAATTATAAATATATAATTTTGTTCAATGTATGCGATTCTATTGAAATTCATTGTTTTGCATTTTGTTTTGGACAGTGCCATCATCTCTTTGACTCCTTACAAGACCTGGTGGACCATGTGAATGACTTCCATGTCAAACCGGAAAAGGATTCTGGGTATTGTTGCCATTGGGAGGGCTGCGCACGCAAAGGCAGAGGGTTCAATGCAAGGTGAGCAACTGAACTGGAAGAATAATTGGTTCTGGACACAAATGTAGCCATCAATTACTATATATATATATATATATATATATATATATATATATATATATATTATGGGTATTAGTTTTACAAGATATTACAACATTTCTGTTGATTTAAATAGTATACGGTCTTGGCCCATGTCTCTCACTGATATATACGTTTTCATGGCTTCAGGTACAAGATGCTCATCCACATCCGCACACACACTAACGAGAAGCCTCACCGCTGTCCGACCTGCAACAAGAGCTTTTCTCGCCTAGAGAACCTCAAGATCCACAACCGCTCCCACACAGGTCAGTACTCACTAGATAGTTAGACATACATTTGTATTTATATTAAAAGACATGACAAAATGTGTTAGAATGTAGCCTTAGTAATTCCCCTTATTTCTCCTCTGCTGGATCAACTAAGAGGATATTTAATTATTACTATTGTTATATGGTGTCAAAACCAGAGTTCTGTTTTTCACAGGTGAGAAGCCATACATTTGTCCGTACGAAGGCTGTAACAAGCGTTACTCAAACTCCAGTGATCGCTTCAAGCACACTCGCACTCACTACGTGGACAAGCCCTACTACTGCAAGATGGTGGGCTGCCTGAAGCGCTACACTGACCCCAGCTCCCTCCGCAAGCACATCAAAGCTCACGGTCACTTTGTGGCCCAGGAGCACGGCTCTCCAGGTGGGGTGGGCTCACTGCTGAAGGGTCCCCCTGCAACGTTTTCTAATGGTGGAGGAAAGGACTCAGAGATGTCTTATGTGAGTGGGGCCCACATCATTATCCCGGGAGCTGCAGCCGCTCTGTTGGGGAGCCACGCTCTGCACAGTCTGGGGGGCTCTTTGCCCCTCTCACCCCTCAGCCCCCGCCCCCTGGACCTCAGCTCATTAGGATGCCCAGGATCTTCTCCTGGTTCCATCCTGTCATTTAACGGCTCTGCGCTCAGTTTGGCGAAGTCTTCTCTGCTCTCCTCAGCCTTCCCCTCTGCGGCGCTCGGTCTGCCTATGATGCCAGTGCTGGGGGCCGCAGTGGAGCGCAGACTTCACTCCATCAAGAAAAGCCGCATGGAGGATGTGGAACCTGAGGGGACTGGGGGGGTCCTGAACCTCTCCACCGGAGCTTCTCATGATCCTATGTCCTGGGTGGTCATGCCCCCAGGCACCGTGGTGCTGAAGCCAGCTGTGGTTAACTGATACACTCACACATTCCTGAAGAGCTCAGGGGGTCTGGGGCAGGGAGGGGCTCACAGTGGTGAGGGGACGGGTGGTCAAAGGTGAAAGGGATCAGCTCGCACAATCAAACTTAAGCAATGCATACAGCAGACTTCTTCCAATAACACTACACCTCACATGACATGTTTAACGCAAGCCTCGTTTGGATTCGGAATTCAAGAGGCCCAAGAACTGTCCAGTAACGTGCGTCTGTATCCTCGATACAGACCTCACTACTTTTCTACATTCCTGTGTGTCTGTGTTTTCTTAGTGCTCTGTGTTCTTCTCAAAGTCCTGTTTGATTGACACATATTTATATTCACTACCCTGACATTGTGCCTATCACTTCACAGTGAGAAAGAGATATGAACCTGAATGACGCACTCACTGTGAAGCAAAAAGTGCATCAACACAGACTTTTCACAGCTGATTTATGAAGCTGTGACCCATTTTTCACACGCTGCTGTGATTAATGTAATTCAGACAGACTTGCTGTACAAGGCGAGTGAACTCAAAGTATCTGTGCGCAGGGTTTGTGCTGGATAAGCTGGATGTGTCAGCCTTAGAGCAGAGCCTCTCTCAGAGACAGATCCATTAAATACAGCACTTATATGTGTCATACAGGAACCTCAGAACTGCTGCTAAACTCAGCTCTATGTACTTGTTGCGAGCACTTGTGATAATCTCAGCCCCTTTTGGGGATGTAAAAACAAGGACGAACCCAGTAGACCAGGGTATGTCCTTGACAATAGGCATGTACGACAATGAGCTTTTAGGACACAGAGCAGAATAAGTAACTTCCGTAGACAAGTGGTGTTTCATCGCCACAATGACCAATACTTGTAATTTGTGTCCCCTTTTAAACAAGACTTTGACAATTCTGGCTCCCCCTTCTGGTAGGGCACTGTGCACATCCGCCTTGTTGCAGTTGGATTGTCCAGCTGCTTTCTCGTAAATTGAATCAACACTGCCATTTGGTCCATGAAAGAAGCACTGTGGTGATAAACAGTGGTGTCGTGTGTTATGAAGTGAGATGACCCAAAACCAGCTGTGCAAAACAGGTGGTGATTCAGTCAGATTCAGCCTGTATTGGTGTAAACTGTGTCCCAAGTGTATCCAGGGGCACAGAGGTGAGGACAGGGCAGAGCGGTGTGCACGGTGCCGCAGGAGGACACAAACAGCTGGACTGTGAAGCCACACTTTTCAAACTGCCTCAACTCTCTCTGTGGCTTCACTAGACACTTTTGACTTGTGGGAAAACACTTATGATTCCACTTTGCAGTCGCACTTAACATACTACGTATATCCTTTGCATGTCATATGAATATGTTACTGCCAACAATCATTAACTTCAGATGTATTTAGCTGCAGGGTTCAGACTAAAATGGGTTAATTGGCCACACTGTTGACTGCTGCTACAGAGGACGAGGATAATATTCACACAACTAAAGGAACGCGTTTTCTTCCAACGCTCCTCATCTCTGCAACTCAGTTTGCCAAGCAGTCTTCACTAAGGTTTCATGTTTGTTTATTTTATTTTTGTTCTGACGAAACATTTTTCTGATGTTGAAGTTGCTTCTTGTCGTCTGTGCAATGACTGCTCTGCATTCAGCTTCCTGCTGCCACCACCGAGTCTTTAAAGGAGGGGAGGGAGGGGGAAAAGTAGGATTTGGGTTCGCTTCTAGGGTTCTTGTTCCCAATTTGGGTTGGATTGAAATCTAGGTCACATCATGATGCGATAGAATAGAAAATGTGTTGACATTATTGGGCTGACGTTTACTATTTAGAAAGGCTCCATATCACAGACTTGTACTTCTGCAGTGCTGAGTCTTCTTCACTATTTTTAATTATCATTTTGTTCCTGTGATAATATTTTGGGATCAGAAATACATCTCACACTTTACTCAGTACAGTATGTACAGTATGCATTCATTTAATTCTACTAGATCAAATTCACTCATTGCAGAGTTCAACATGTGTTTATTCTAGAATAGTGATTTAGTAAACAGTTAGTTTGTGACTTAATTCAACCAGACAGTCTGTATTGTGACAGTTGAATAGCAGAGCTGGACAGGCTTCTCTGCTCTGGACCTCTGCTGCTCCAGTGACCACTGTCAAACCAGCTTTTACTAAATAAATCTAGGTCATTGAACTCTGTTTGCCCTGTTATGCCATTTTTATAGTTTAAGCCCAAAGGATCAACCATCTCACATTTTGGCAGCAAAGCCTCTTTCTGCAGATGTGGAAAACATGGTTGATTGGCAAACAGAAACATGGACATGTCTTGTCATCTTAAGACTCACGTCCTTCACAAAAGGCAGCGTCATGCGTCTGTATCTTTACACATGCAGTGGGATATCATCAGACGTTACCATGGAAGCAGTGGTGTGACCTCCGCTGGACAAAGACTCAGTGAAGCAGGAGGAAGCTGATTATGACAAGGACCCGACCAGGGACCGTATTGTTTCCATATTCAATAAGCTGTATCAACTATTAACCCTTTGAGCTCTGTATGAAACTGCACTTTCTCTTTTCCTATAGACCAGAGTTTGCCATGACATTGTTTGGCAGCATACAGCCATCTATCATTTTAGGATCAAAGTGTATTTGAAACAATCAAACATGTAATGTAATTGTATTTGTAAATTGTAGAGTGGTACTTGCTTCTGGATAAGCTAATTTAAGGCTTTCTTCTTTCTGGAAGCATAATTGTCAGAGTTGCCACAGTGTTGCACAAAGGGTTAATGTTCAGACAAAGGCCATGCGAGGCCTGTTTTGAGTTATGTTTTTGCACATTTGTAAGATATGTCAGTATTTTAATTTTTTAAAGTGCCTTTTTATTATCATAGGGTAAACTACAGAATACACATTACAAAAATGTTGATATTAAAATATATTTTCCTGGTATTATGTTCGGTGGTTGAACATAACGAACATTAGGGTTGTAAAAGTCTTCAATTGGTACAACAGTGTGTTTTCCGGTTTTAGAGGAATTTTATTACGATATTGATAATAAGGTCAATGAAAAGAATCTTTAATAAAGTTGCATTTGATAAAACATGTGTTTTTTTCTTTTCCTGTTTAGAGTACTACGTCTGCTAAGGAATAGAAATCATGACGAGTTTAAGAAAAGAGGGCTTTTTATTCGGGCATAATTTACAGAGGAAGGGGGGGAATATGAGGTCACTGATATTTCATGATTCTGAGTTCTTTTGAGACTTCTGCGTTTGATCCGAGTGTATCCTTAACTCTTCATCTAGTCGCTCTTTGGCTCGCACCACCTACACATGAGAGGGCATTTAATGCATACACTTTGACCACAGTAAACAAACATCGATATGAGCAGCATTAATCATTGAAAACAAAGTCATTGTAGCACTTACTTTAGATTGAAGGTAAAAAGATCCGCCGACAGACTTGTCATTAACTTTAAAAAGATGTTCATAATTCTGCAGGAAAACAAAAAACACAAAACGTTACAGCTCATGCTTCACTCTCAGTTTGCTTCTTTCGCTCGTTTCACATCTTTAGATCAGATTTTTCAGACAGAAAAGTGACAAAGAGAGGACCACTCATGCTCCTGCTAATAGTGATTCACAGAGTACTGAGTATCAGAAGAACATGTTGTGGTGCGATATGTTCAAAAAGTTGTGTATAATTTATGAAGTTAGGTACCTCAGCTTTATTATTTTATACATGGCCATTCATTTGGAACATTTGCTAAACAAGTGTTATGTACAAGGGTTTCTTCATATCAGGTTTATGTTGTAATATACAACTGTTCAAATGGTGCATAGAGGTAACTGTGGTATATAACACAATTATACAATACCATACGACACAAACGTCCTGATCCTGTTTGTGTACTGTAAGTCACTCTGGTTCAAATGTAAAAGCCTTTACATTGTCCAGTCAGGGAAAACTTAACAATAAATCATTACATTTAATGCCGTCTTTTAAAACACCTAAGGATGTCTTACAATGAAATAGATTTTTTTGTTTTAAAACAACAAAAATCCTTGTATCTGAACATGAGCAGGTTTGGTCTCTTTCTACTTCGCACAAGTCAATTTGACATTCATAAAAAATGCTTTGCTTTAAAGCACAGTGTTATTTTCAATACAAGGAAGCTTTATTTATATTAATTACATGAATGGTATAGGTTCACACCTTCATCCTTCCTTAGAGACAAAGAGATCCTTTATCCATCCCACAGTATGGAACGAATAATAAGAACAATTCTAATAGTTTAACACATCCTTCGACTCTTGCATTAAGGCTGTGCAGATATTTGACATTTTAATAGTGATTCACATTACTGCTGTCAGTCAGGCAACAGAAATGGAGTACTTTACATCAGCAAAAAACAAACAAAAAACTATTATTCATTCATTCATTCTTGTCTATCTTAATCATGGTTAAATTACAAGCTAAATAATACAAGTTCTTCTAAAAAAGGTACATTAAAGAATGCCGTTGCTAAAGTGAAGTGGAAGTGTTAGAATCTGTATGACCAACACAGGAGCGCGGTACAGGTTCAACTGCATCCTAATTACAACACACCAAATTCAGTTTAGTTTAGTCTCAAGATTATTATTATTGCAACTTTTTTATCAGAGTATTTTTAGGACCAGACCAGGGCATGGAGGAAATTAGCAGCATTTGAGAAAACATTCATATGTGGCTATTTTTGTATAAGAAAATACCTAGAGGGATGCTATTAGGTTTAGGTAAAAACGTTATTCTGCCGTTTATTAATTTCAGATCAGGCCCTTTAATAATAAAAACAATATAATGAAAACAATCATACCATATTGTACTTCATCAGTCATATAAGGTATTTTCAACATTACAATTTACTTCTGTAACAGCTTTGTCCCTTAAAATGTTATTGGGGGTTGATGCTAATACGCGAGTTAGGTTATTAAATAATTGTTTTATGGATATTGATGAGACAACAAGTTTATATTGATGAACGGATGGAGAGGAAAACGTGAACACCAAGATATCCAGTGTTTTATTTGTGGAAGGTTTGTTTGGAGCTCATTTACCTTCTGGATCTCCTCAGGCGTCATTGTGGAGAGGTTGAGGATCTGCTGTGCTTCTTGTAGAGACATCCCTGTGATACTAGAGGCTGCTGCCGACTCCTGTCCTGACGTGCTCCGGGCGCGTGCAGCTGCTTGACTGGCTGTAAAATAATAATAAACATAGTTCATCGAATCCATCATCAAAGCACACATCCGGCCATTATTAAATAGTAATGAGAAGAAAGAAGGTACCAGCAAATTCTTGTTGTAAGGCACGGGCAAATGCGCGTCCTATTACCTGCACACCCATCACAACGATCTGTGCCAGGTACTTTGCCTACAGAGAAAATAATCACTGCATTAAGATCAAATCCACAAGTTACTCATTTCCCCCAACACAGTTTGACGCTTAAGTTTGTATTTGACAATATGTCAATTTAGATCAGGAAAGACAGGGGTGGCCAGATTTTCCACAAAAAAACTGAACTCCAACTAAAGTAGCAGTAATTAAAAATATATAATAATACGATAGTGACAAGGGGTTTTATTCTGCACTCAAGCCATCCTCACACCTTTTTACTGTTTACTTGTCAGTGTAATAAGAAGGAACTACTTCTGCCAGTGAGTTTTATCTTATGACCATAATCAACAATAAAAAAGTAATAAAATATCCACATGCTTCCGTTTGTCAGAAAGGCACAACTGGAACAAATCAATGGCTATAATGAACAACTCTATTTGGACATGGGACACAAGCTCAAGCTGTTGTAGGTGAGTATCCACTAAAATGAAATAAAAATATGTTAAGTATGAAGAAAGTTCCATTCCATAGCTCAGATATATGCTCCTATTGGTGCATCATTTATACATTTAGAATAGTGTTCCCGAATTGTTGTTTTCTTCTCCACAAAAATGGCCAAAAAAATTGTAATAATAAATATTAGTATTTATTTTTCAGTGTAAATGGACTTCATAGAGTTTCAAAGATCCCAAGTGAAAAATCATAATTGTAAAACACATGACTGATTTGGCCCAGACTGTCCCAGGTAAAAGGGACGTCTGGTCACTCCGGGCTAAGAAGACATCATCACAAGCCTTGCGTAATGCGACCTTGATACGGTCATAAATGATTGGTGATAAATGAACATTATTCCCATAACTACAAATCCTTTCATACATCACGCTGCTCAGAAATACCATAATAACATCTTATGTGACCAGAGATGATACTGATAAAAGCCCGAAGCACACTATGACAATCGCAGCAGTGAAGCTAATGCTAACGCTACTATCTAAAGCTACTACCCGGGCATGCTAAATGTGGGATTATTATCCCTTTAAAGCTGATGGAGTGTCATTTCTCACCATATTGGAGGCGACAGTCTTGCAGCGTTTCACATGTACGGCACTGGAAGGTGACCAGGGCGAGGGTCAAGAGGAGAACACAGGGCGCGCTGACACACTGACACCTAGCGGCCGGAGGACACACTGCAACTGGGTTCAAATGTAAATGAAGGGATCAATAAATAAGTGAACTAATTCAATAATAAATGAGTGGGAAATATAGAAACAAATACAAAAATAAATCACTTGAATTAACTAAACGTTGTTAATTGTATACTAATTTGAATAAGTAGTAAATACAAATATATCAAAGGTACATTTTGTGACAAATTTGGATAATATTCAACCTATTTCAATTGGTATGCTGTCTTTGTTCTTATATAAAATACTTCAAATGATAACAATTATAAAACATTGTGAAAAGAATATCAATCTGGTCCTTTAAGTTAATAAACATAAACAAGTGCTTCAAATAAGTTGTATTGCCGTATAATGAAAAACAAGCACAATAGAAAACGTTTTATTCTTTTTTTTTTTTTTACCACAAATTCCAGTTAAAATGTATAGAACATCACCATTGCTTAATTTTAAGTCACAAACACACAAACATATTTGTGTAAACATGGTGATTGTGCATGGTGCATTAATGTGGTTAATTTTACAGTACAATGTATTTTGAGTAACGCCTGGATTTGTGAATGCAGAGGTATTATTGATAACAAATACTGAGCTTTCTGATTACATTACATTAGTAACAAATAAATCTACACAAGGAATGTAATCAAAGCAATAACAGAACAATCATTTACCCTTAAAAGCCTACAAATAAACCATTATTGTATTTTACCAACATCCATTTAAACAGTAGTAAATATCAAAAACAGTATACTAATGCATGAAAATAAATTGGCAGAATGGTGTGTTTTGGCAGTCCAATAAAACAAATACCCTGTTGCATTCTGTAGTTTTACAGCAGTAAAGAGTGCCTGTCAAACAGGAAGACAGATTACTGGATGATTTTGTCCTCCTTGTACTGCTCAGACCAGCTTGGCTCTTCTACATTTGAACATATATATATTCCAATGCAGATTAGGTTTCACATATTCAACTATTAATTATAGCAAGTGTGACGTGATGTGGTTCTGACTGGTCGGGCAACAGACTCATTTCAAGACACATGTAGGTGATCGTGCACAGGACAGGCCGAGAGGCAAGTGTTACATGCTCCAGACACTATAAAAGGCAAACAACGTCACCATGGGTCCTAAATAAACATCACCATCAGAAAACACATACAAAGACAGCTGTTAAAAGTGTAAAAACATTGATTTGTGCTTACTTGACATTCAAAAAACAATGTAACATTAACATCATAAGACACAGATTTGTCCCCACTGTTACAAACATCACTTACTCCCAGTTTCATGCATTTTGATAACAAGGTAAACGTTATTTCATTATATCAAAATGTGTGCACAATTACACTGAGAGAATCCCTGCTGCGGAAGTGGTGATTCACATTGTACAGTCATTTTATTTGAGATTTATGTAGCATCAAGACACTGGCAACATTACACGAGGCATCTGCAGTTGGCACCGATTAAAAAAGGCAAAGACATTTCCCATCTAGTCATCCTGAAAAAAAAAAAAAAAGTCTTGAGCACATATGTTGAACAACCAAACGTCAATCATACAACAGTTTACTCACCCACTCATCCTCATCCACTCCCTCGAATGCTTCCTGTGGCAGCGGCTCGTCGTCCAGGTTCCCAAGTTTAGCCACCATAGCACTGAGTAGCTTTGAACGAAATAGTCAAAAATGCCAAACTGTTCCAATAAATAAATTATAATCAAATCATAAACAGACCAACCTCCTCTTTCTTTTGCTCGTCTGATTTCTCCTCAAGGTAAAACGATGAAGGCATGTACTTCCTCACGGTAGCTTCCTTGGGGGCTTCACTCACTACAGATTACATAATGAAAGAAAAAAAACCTTATTAAATAAACATACAATTACTTTCTTATCCAAAGGATATGCTGTATATGCAGTATTTGTTGGTGACTTACTTGCGATAATTTCAATAGGATTATAATCTAAATGCAGCTTATTAAAACCAATTAAAAGTAGACATTTGAATGTCTGTATGTTTCTAGAGTGTGAAAATATAGAAATAAAGTATGTAATTATGCCTGTATAGTCCTTTTTTGTCGGACAATTGACAAAAAATAACCATTAAACAGTGAAGGATCAAAATACAGATGTGTCCCTTATTTTCAAGCAAACCAAACTTTCTGGGAGGAATGAGGGCCAGTTTATAACAAAAAATAATAATAAAAAAATACTGACCAAAAACTATGTCAAAATCGTATATTTACAGATCTTGATCGAGACAAGGTTCTCAGAGAAATGAGTCATCAGAGGCCAAAACTACAGGGTCTCAGCTATATCCACAAGGCTATAAAACAGACTGATTTTGACTTGTTGTTTTGTTGTTCGAATTTGAAGAAAAAGGCCAGGGTACGTAACACTAGACAACACTAGATGGCGCTCTCATACATGTATCCTTAACGATGTATAAAACAGCACCTGGAGTCATGTCTTTAGGCTTGAGGCTCATCCTCTTGTGTTCACCATTGGAGCCGGAGAGCCACGCAGAGACCGTCAGAGCTGCCTCCCAACACACAGCCGTGTGTGGGTACACATCATCTTGGAAGAAATCTTTCTGCAGGGACATAAAAACACAAAGGGATATCAAAAGAAGAAGCAACCCACCGAACGCAATATAAAATCCTCCAGCAGATGGCGACAGTAGCTCACCTTCACCCGTGGGACTTTGAAGGCGACGGGCTCGATGGTGGTCTTGGTGAGCATCATTGCCACTCCTATCTCCACCTCCCGGACATTGCAAGCAGTCTTGGGCAGAAAAGCTAAACCCTATTCAGACAATAAAAACATATCAGCTCTAATGTTATTACACCAATCAAACATTCAAGAAAAATAACATGCACTTCCAAAAATGATAAAATAAAAATAGCTTGAATTGAGTGAAGAACTATAATAATAATAATAATGAAATAATAAATAATTTTGCTTGTCCCATTGGCAGATCAAAATTTGAGCAATTCATAACATATTTTTCATCACTTTTTGCAGTGTGGTAGTTCTGAACAAACCTTGTGAGGCTCAGGAGTGGTGAAGCTGCTACACTCGATAAAATAAGGACTTTCAGGGACAATCTCATAGATGTTAACTCGAGTGTCACCCTGAACGAGGGAGAGAAGGGGAAATTATTTTGGTGAAAACATTAAAGACAATAGTTAAGAACAAGTCGACAATAGAAGCTTACTTTTCCGGTGAGGATGACCACGCTGGTATCGGGGTCATAAAATGGGATCAGGGTCGAAGGAGAGACGTCCACATTAATGTTACACACTGCTCCAGACGACAGAGCCTCAGCCAAGTACAAATACAGACCTCTCTCACTTTGACTGAAGCAAACACAAAATTATTATATCCTAAAATCACCCAAAGACAGGACTGACAACAATCTGATACTCACTGGGTAAATCCAGACACCAGCAGGTACTTGCCCTCACACACCCACACGATACGCGCCCCTCTGTGCCCCTCAGGACCGGGACCCTCCTGAACAAACATACGGCCATTACTAACTAGACATACAAGTGCCATGGTGTCATTTAAGAAAGATATAGAATCATAAGAAGAAAGGGTCATAGAATGTTTGCAACAAAATATACAAAGACATTACATATCAATTCATTTATTTATTAGATGTAACTAAATTATTAATAATTTGGTCATAAAAGTAAAGCACCATATTCATATTGGTGATCGAGTAGGTGGGTTCGATCCCATGTGGAGTTTGCATGTTTTTGGGTGCCTCGCTTCTGTCAGTTTGTCACAGGGCAGCTGTGGCTAGCTACGTATTGTATTACAACCGTGTACAAACGGAATGAATAATGAACTCATGTAGCGCTTTGAGAGACTTCACCAAGCCTGTAAAGTGCTGTACAAGTGGAAGACATTATATTATGTCCAGGCCCAAATTGAACTTTTCTGGGTTAGGGCTAAACTAGGTCTTAAATAGACGATTTCTATAGTTAATATAGAGAAAAAAAATGACTCTACTCATAAATACCTCTACTCTAAACTCATCAATTAATTTAACAGAGCAGTCGAAGTACATGTAAGAAAAGCTGATCCCAACAGTTTGAATTTTATTGTATTATTGTATAGCTCTAAATCACAACAGTAGTTATTGGAGGACTTTACACAACCATTGAATTCGGCAAAACAGATCAGAGAATAAAACAGCTCAAACACAAGAAAAGTTTCAGACCGATGAATCTGTTATGGGCCTGTGAGGACAGAGGGCTCCTCATGACTAGGACTAGGACTTTTCAAAGATAATTCATGTTAGGACTTGATGATTTTTACCACACCCATAGGTAAAAAATCTCCAACGCGCGGTCTGAGATTTCATTCCCTTGAAAAAGTTCTTTGGATTAAGGACGAAATGTTGGGAAAACCAGCTAAGAAGTACGGATGATGGGTGAGAAACCTTCCTTTAGTTAGGACTCCCTGTTCTCACTGATGCACATTAGCACCTAACATTTTTGCAGGGATGAAGTTGTTTGTATAGTTTGAGTATTAAACATCAGTTAGCGGTCAGGTGTTATTATCATGTGTAATTGTGTGTTTTACAGACCTGCACCGGAGCTCCTGACTGGCGAGGGTCATAGATTCTAACTTTCCCATCTTTACAAACTGTTGCCAGAAGCTTGCCATCTGGACTCCATGCCATGCCAAACACCTGGATATAAAACACAAGGAAGTAGATTAAATAAAAAAGGATCAAAGCCCTTCAGAGTTAACACAATAATGAAGTAAAGTTTAATCCTTCTGTGGGGGTTTGTATCTAGCACCCACCTGGTCTTCGTGTCCGGACAGGATTTTGATTTCCTCGCCACTTTCCAGGTTCCAGAGTCTCACAGTGAAATCGTAGGACGAGGACACCAGCAGCCCACTGGCCAGAGGGTGGAACTTTATAGAGTAAATCTTCTCACTGTGCCCTACCAACAAATAATGAATCAAAACATTATGGAAATCTGTATAATGACTACTATAATGACTGACTAATGGTAATGAGATTTACCTCGAAGTATGAGCTCGGGTTCAGTCAGGGTCTCGACAAGGCCTCCCTCTGGCACCTGCCACACACGGATCTTGGCATCTTCTCCGGCTGGCATTCAAAAAAAGATATATGTTTGTATATTATTGGGATAAAAAGAACAAACTAAGCATATTTCTTACCAACAGCCAGACGATGTGTGTCAAAGGGGTCCCAGCAGAGGTCAGCCACATTCACAGAGTTCTGAACTGTGGGCACATTTGTGTCCGGTTGTCTGCCAGGTTTGGAACGCTGGGCAGTAAAAAAACACATATCATACATTTTGATAAAGCTGGGGTACTTTGTTTTTTTTAAAGACAATACATAATGTTTGTCACAATAGAATAATATTGTAAAAGTGAAAATCAGATGTTGAAAATCAGTGTGGTCTTATGGCTAAAACACAAAAGGCAGTGCATCTGGTCTGTGCAAGTATACTGTTATGTCCATATCAAATAAATAAATAAATAAAATGTAACATGCTGTCTTCAGACTTGTAAGAAAGAGCCCTGTGAGTCACTATTTGACTCTTTGAGCTGAGAGAATGAATCAGTGAGGGTGGTCCTCTTTTTCTCACTTTCCTGTCTGATAAAAGTTTGACAGAGGCAAACATACATGGAAAATAAAATGTTAGAAATAAACTTTGAGCAAGGATCTAGTGGAATTACCCCAACTTTAATAAATAACTGAAATGAAAAACAAGACGTGTATTATGCTTAGATTAATAATATTACCTCAAAGACAGCGATCTGCCCCCCGGAGGTAGCCAGAGGAACAGCCACTAGTTGGTTGTTGACGCAGAAGCCGTCGCACTCTCCGGGCGTGGTCAGGTTCAGGTTCCTGATGTTGGTGATGTGAGAGTCTTTGTGCATCACAGAGCCCTGAATGTGACGGAACTTTGTGCTGGGACCTGAACACAGTTTACGAACAATGTCATGATTTCTAATTACTGTACACTGGTCAGTAAAAGTGTGTTTGTGTGTGTGTGTGTGTGTGTGTGTGTGTACCCAGCAGGCTGTGGATGGCCTTGGTGCTTTGGCTGGGACTCGGGCTGGGGACAAATCCAGAGGAGAGGCCTGAGGTGGAGGAGGGAGAGCGGGACGGGGCTGCACTGCTGCTGGGGGTGCTCAGAGGACTGCTGGAAGTGGAGCAAGCACGCGCCACATCCTGTCAATACAACAACAAACACACACGTCAGATCAGAAATTCCCTTTATGTCAATTCAATGTCAAACTTCTTACGTTCTTGGTTTTGCTGCTGGCCTCCGCCTTCTTCACTGATGTTTGACTGGTCTTGGGTCGTTTGTCTGGATTAAGACTGACTTTTTCCACCTAACAAAGAGGGGACAATTAAAGAATCTATAACCTGCAGATTACGTGTTTTTATGTTTTTTAAACCCTGTGCTGTCTACTTTATAGATTCAGACTATAAAGTTGTCTGAATCTGAATCTAAACTGTAAATCAACTTTTCTTCTGACTACTCACCCTGAATCAGATGATATTGTTTACCTGTTTGTTCCCCCCTCGCCACCACTCGTCAGCAGACATGGCAGCGATTGGACCGTCTGTGTCTGGGTACAGGTCTTCATGGAACTCATGGCCTGAGTTCTGGTTCACAAAAGACAAAACAGTGAGGCTAAAAGTTCATATAATCAGAAGAGCCGTCACATGAGCAGAGGTTTCTGACCTTCCGAGGGACTTGATAACTGACGGGCACAATGTTGTTGTCTGTGAGCTGAAGAGCGCGCATAACTTCACAAGACATGATGTCCAGTTCTAGTTTAGGCACCAGGCAAACGCCTCGAGTCGATGCATCTGTGAGACAGTGGCTCACTGCAAACAACAAGAATAGATTAAAGAAGAGTTCATCATCTGGTCAATATTTCAAACACTCACCTTGTGTAAGCACAGGCTCAGAGGAAGACACTTCAAAGCAGTCAATCACAGTGTCTCCCTACAAAGAGAACAATACACAGTAGGATTTTAGTTTCACTAAAGTGTCTGTGATGCAAAGATCCAAAACAAAATCATCCAATATTTATGGAGAACAAAGACATTTGACAATAATTCATAAATATGAATTGTACCATTCCAGCCAGGATGAGAAGTCCAGTGTCATCATCAAACAGAGGAATCAATGTCCTGAAAACACAGAGAAAGAGGCACGGGTAAATACACAACTCTTCTCTCTTTTGAAAATCTAGAAAGATCAATCAATCAACTTTTATTTTTATAGCACAGTTCATAAAGAATGCAGCCCAAAGTGCTTCACAACATTTACAACCAATAAAAAACACACTGCAAAAACGCATACAAAAGACACTTAAGAAAAATGAAATGTTATAATAATACATTAAACTATGATCTACTGCCTGATGATCATCAGTCATAGACATGGCTAAAAAGAAATGTCCGAATGTATTTGCAATTCCAGATTCAGCCCCTAGATGGAGCAAGACGACCAAAGTGATTTAGTCGGACACCCCTCACTCCGCATCCTCCAGAAGTCCTGAAACAAGTAAGTTCTGAGCAACGAGTCCATGGCTCAATCAAGGCTCACTCTGGAGCCCTCAGTCTATGTCCTTCAACTGTAATAATAAGGAAGTTCAGCAGAAATGTATTTCATTTTTGAAAGAATTAATAATTTGATTTAGCAGATTATGAACAACTGCTGCTCTTCAATCAATCCACTTTATTTATAGAGCACATTTTATTAAAAAAAAAGTTCCAAAGTGCTGCATGAAGATAACAGTAACACATTTAAATATCCAGGTTTTCCAGCTTTATATCTATGCAGAAATAGAGGTAAAACATTATGTACAAAGTAAAACCATATTATAAAATCATAAAACCAGTAATCCAATTTCAATATAAAATCAAAAGTAATAACAATAAACTACCAGTTATCCAATTTAAGAATAAAGACGACTAAAAACAAAAAAATAAATAAAACGGATAAAACAGAGGACCACACAATTCAGGCAGTGTTAAAAGCCAAACAAACAACCGCTGCTCTTGTGGCAAATAACACATGAATGAATTAAAGCCAAACAGGAATTCATATCTGCAATTCAAGTTTCCTCCATTATATTATTCATCCAAGTCGTCAATCTCTTTCTGTGTTATGGTTTCACTTTGATTTCCATGGTGAGAGAGGGGAGAGACTGCAGTGGACTGTGGACAGGTCCTGGCCAGGGCAAACCACATCACAGACTGAAGATATCCTGCTCAAAGTGGAGAGTGATCGCCTTTTGATAATGACTTTGGGTAAAAAGACGATCCTCGAAAAAAAGGCATACGAAGTGAGAAAGAAGAACCGGTGAGGTAATGCTCGCAACGATGACACTCAAATGACAGGGTGCGTTAAGCAATGACATATGGGGACGCAAAAAGAGCAGCTATGTTTAAAAAGGTCAGAGTGTAGCGGGGAATTTCACATCATGAGACAGACATCCATCAAGTGATCATCAAACACGCTCAATATCAATTCAATAACGTCTTTTGTGGCGTTGGTGGAAACTATTTGGTGTCTTGGCAGAGAGCAGCAGCCTGAAAGAAAAAGCAAATGCCAGTAACTGTAGAGATTTTTGGTGAAGGCGCTGGCCAAATGGAAATGATGTAGAAAATGAAAGGGGAAAAAAAAAAATTCTCTTAAGCCAAAGTGATGTTTTTGAAAGAACACAGACGTGGGTTAAAAATGCATCCAAGATATTATAGTGTTTGTAAACTTTGCATTAGGCTCTGCGGTTCTGACTCGTCTGCCATTTTTAAGAGGAGACGAGGAAGAGTCGCAGTGCTGAGGGCGACATTCTGTTATTGTGGATTTACTGTGATGGATACAGTCACTACAGTTTTTATTCAGTGTTAAAACTACAATTTTTGAGTAGTGGCAAATATTGAACTTTTTTGTGGAGTTCATTTTATTCAACATTTATGGACATTGGTCATCTGTCTTGTGTCGACGTGACATGTAAATTTCTCTTGTGTGAGATCATTAAAGTCTATCTTATCTTATCTTATGGAACAATGGCTATATGTGTTTTTTTAATTATGGCATTTCTTGTGTTTAAACGGTTGGATTCTCTGATCTGTCCTATGAGATAACTACTGTTGTGATAGATAGCTAGATAGATACTTTATTGATCCCCGTAGGAGAAATTCAGGTGTCCAGTAGCAACAAAAATAAAAAACAAATAAAATAGATCATTCTAAAAAGCTAACCATTTAGGGTTATTTAGGTATGATTTAGGGCTATACGAGAATACACTGAAAAGACATGAATAAAAAAAATAAAAAAAATTAAGGAATACATTACGATATTTGATCAGGCAATTTTGATATTACGCAAAAAGTTTAAGCAGAAACGCCAAGGGTTCCCTCTCCACACACCTCCTCCAGCTCATCCGGGTAAATCTCGAGGAGTTCCCAGGCCAGCTGAGAGACTTAGTCCCGTCAGTGTGTCCTGGGAGGAGACCCCAGGGAAGCGTCCAGGAGGCATCAAAAACAGATCCCCGAGCCAAGACATGTGTGTTTTAAATCATTTTCATATCAACAATAAGAAAAATCCATTTGAATCATGTAATAAAAAATAAAGTAGTTTCAATTCATTACAACATTATTGATCCGTGAGGAGCACCAGTGGGGACACACAACAACACAGAAACACAAGAGTCTGTATTATATTAATGCAAAGGTGAGCGGAAAAGTAATCCAAGTCTCAGAACACAGCAGTCTATGGACCAGGTGACGGAAATACATTTTCCAGGTATTCAGTATTTCGTATCTGAAAACATGTTCAAAGCTCTCCACTATGTGTTAGTCTGTTTCTTTTGTGCCCAACGTTCATTTTTATATAAGTTCCGCTCCTTGCTCCACACACAAAGACGTTTAAAATGACAGCTGAGCATTTACCCCTGAATCCTACCTACATCCGTGCACATTCATCTATTTCCATTATGAGTAGGAGCTTTTGAGGCAGCAACAAACTTGACCTTTTCTCTTTTCTTTATGTCCACTTTTGACCAGAGCTTGTAGGGGCCAGCGAGGGGCAGCCATGGTTCATTAAGACCGCGGTGTGTTCCCATGTCCCAGACTGTCTGCAGGGAGTCTATAAACGCCTCCATTCCCACACCGCTCCTCCTTGTCCCCTTTTTCTATTCTCATTCACCACCTCTCCCTCAATTCCTCATTATTCCTCTAAATACACGCTGCTTCTTAAATGGCCTTATCTGTGCTTTTCTCACCGTAAATGAACAGCGAGTCAAACAGACGCATAATTGGACTTGGGGGGTTTTAACGCTGATAATGACCCGTGTTTACTATGGCGTTCACGCACGGCCACGCCACTCTCCACGTTCCCACAAAGTACATGTGCTAATAAGCTGTGTTGTATATGCAGCGACAACAGCCTCTGGTCAGGCTCACACCGGGAGCACGGGGGGGTAGGGGTGGGTGGGGCGCCAGGTCTGACTGCTGCTGTTTATGAATGAGGTGGAAAAATGAAACAAGACTCATTCATTGTTTACAGGCGGAAGGCACACGTGTATTCATTGTTTGATTCAGTTCAATTATATGTATAGCCCTTAAGTCAAAACAGCAGTCGTTTCGGAGGATTTCACAAAGTTGTCGATTCTCCAATAACAGATCAGAGAATCAAACAGTTTGAAAACAGGAAATGCAATATTAACAAACACATACAGTAGGAGCCATTGGTCCAATGGGAGCGGGAATTTATAAATATTTATGTCCATACATTTTTATAAATTAGTTCTAGGTCTCCATGATTTTGTCTAAACAGTTGCAATTTTTCGGAAAAACTTTTAAATTACTTTTAGATTTGCATTTTTTTCTTCCAGAATAATGACAGAGAGCGACATAAAAATACGCCGAGGGTCATGATTGGTCCTTTGCCTTTAGACTACTTACTTTAGATGACTGAATATCATATAATATATAATTAATATATGCGTTTGGAAGTGTTCGATGCATGAAAGCATAATAACATAATAAATGCCTTTATAAGCAGCAGCTCTGTAAAAAAAAAAAAAAAGGAAATTTGTGGGAAATGCAAAACTATGAACTCGACCACACAGTGAAGTAGCTATACTTCTAATTATGCTACTGAACTGAAATAATTAACTTCTAATAACCCTTTTATGGAATGAAGAATATCAAACATAATTCCATTCCGATATGCACCGCACTCCACCACTTTTAACTACAGCGTTTTAAAGTGGTCTTTTCTCTGTCTTTTCCATAAGATCGTAAAGTGCTAATTCTTTTAACACTAATCCGGCCATCCCTCAGATCGGTCCTCCCTGGACTCGGTCTCTGTTCATTCTCTCCGTCAGAGGCACATGTTACATCAGCATCAGCTTCATGAACGCCCAAAACACACTGACCTTCTCCAAGTGACAGCAGCCTTCAGCACCAGCAGATAACGTGGCTCTAGCGCTACACTGGGCACAAGTCTGGACCAACTATCAGCATGTTGTTTTTGCATGGGATAATATAAGAAAGATACATTGGTGCCCTTTATCTGTGTAGAGTTAAAGGTAAAAATTTCTCTATTTAGAAGAAAGCAGGACAATGGTTAGGAAAAAATGGCTGACAATAATGATGCCTGGTATATTTTGCTTAATTGTGATGATTGGGTTTGGACTTAAATATTATACTGGAGACAAAAAGTGTTGATGTTTTCAATAGTTGTTCAAACTTGTTACTTACTTGTTATTCATATACATATTATTCAAATGAAAAAGCAGGAAGGAAAGAGTGATGGGAAGTAGGTGTAGGGTCAGAGAGTGTTAGCGCCTGTGTCTTGTTTGTGTGTACAAGTGGATTCTACTGCTTTTGTAGATTTTTTGTTTTAAATTTTAATTCTGTATTAAATGGGTGAGGGGTACTTAATACCTAATCCGTTATTTTGTTCTGTAAAATTGTGTCGTACGGGTTTCGCAATAGATTCTCTTTTGTTCTGATATAAAATACATCAAAGCCCAAGTGGTTTTTGAATATTTCAGCCACATTAACAATTGTCGTAATATTTACAGGTTACAAATCACAATTTCGTCGGGATAACTGTTCCAAAGCCAACGAGTTAGAGCCATACGAGAGTGTATAGAAAATGTCATACAGGCTGAACAGTTGAAAAGCAGGGGGAAGGGGAACGTTTTCCGGGGGCCCCTTGCCTCTGGCCCCACAATTAGCCAGTTTTCCAATTACTTTCTGTTAAAGCAGCGACCGAAATTCTGTCAACAGCCCAGCACACAATACCTCCAATACAAAGTGTCCCTCCTATAGATCACTTTGTTTGGATTCATCTATTTACGACAGTACAGGTCCATACATGACATGAGATGGAGACATTGAGCAGATGCACAATAACACCGACAGCATACGAGCCTAAAGAATTATAATTGTAATTCAGGTTGGTTTGGAGGGAAAACGGCAGAAGAAGGTTGAAGAATGAAAACTTGAAAATTTCTGAACTCAAAGGCCTCCTGTTTGTGACTTATATAGAACGACATTAAGCTGAGTGGTGAGCTATCTTTTCGTTTACCTTACCATTAAAGATGATACCGGCGCATTTTGAAAATCCATTCCACATGGCAAACCTGGACTCATTTGCAGTAAAAAGCATGACATAATATGAAACTTGGGAGAGTGCATTTTGAAGCAAAGATAATATCGGAGCCAGCAGTGCATTAAAGAGTATGGGACCAGTGTGTGGGCCTAATGGAAGCCGCCTGCAGAGGTATAAGTTACTACGGCAGCGATGACCAGATCTCTATCAGTCAAAGGGAGTTTTTCCGTCTCTGGCGATGCTATAAACTACTAGAACTCACAACAAAACATTGCAATACACAATAGTCGACTGTAGGAGCTGGTGAAGAGGACAGGACTTAAAGAGGACAGGACTTAAAACACTATGACTACAACTATAAAATAATATAGAAAAGTAATATAGATGCTGTATGTGTATAAAGGGAACCTGAGCAGTGTGTTAGACGACATACTGTATTTTAAACGGCCAAAATTACAAGACATTTTCCCTGCTTAAAATATGTAGTTCAACAATATGATTTTTTTTCATATGGGCAAATGAGGATGCCGTTAAATTCAATTCAATTCCAAGTATTTTTTTACAGAATGGAAGTTATCATGGAGTTATCATGCCAGCACAGATGAGAAAATCAAACACTTAAAACACAGAGAATGCAAAAATAAGAAATAAAACACATAGAGCCATTGGTCCATAAGGGGCAGATGAAGTTAATGTTAATTTCTCATGCTAGCCTTTAACATATCGACAGTACTGTTCGACGGTTATGGACAATTCATGAATGGAAAACTGCTCTGTAAATGCTCAATCAGCAGTAGAGTATGGCTAAGATTACACTTTAAAAAAAACGTGTCTATGTATGCAAATGAGCAGCGTTTTAGATATTAATGAGTGTGTCCTATAATAAATGGATAAGATAAAGCAACAGAATTGGTCAAATCTAGGTATTTGTAGGTCAAATTTTGTTTTGGGTTATATCTACTTTTGTGTCAACCGTATCAGCAGAAGCGCGCGTCACGGCGATATCTTTGAAGGTGAAGGATCTGCTGAACTGTGAACCACGGACACTTTGGTATCAGTGGAGCCAGGAGTGATTCCGCAGCCAAAACAGCATCCCACCAGCCAACAGCCGCAGGTCTGCCCTGTGGCCTGATTGTCCACTTTAGCTCACACTGGGAAGTTAGTTTGAATCTCAGTCTGAAATGATCTATCATTTTGGTTTCATTTTCTCTAGCAATGTTCAAATTATGCCCAAGAATTAATTGAGTTAGTGTGTTATTGGACATTGAACCACATTTTGACATTTGACGAATAGGAAATTTCAACAAATGTCATAACACACCATCAGAGAGACAGCGAGTGAGGGGGCTTCCATCCCGTCACACTTTCTTGCAAATGTTTACACAACAAAGATGGAGACTGTAAAATAAAATGAACTGCAATAATAAAAGCCCCGTCACCAATGTTAGTATTGTGATTGTTTACAGGGACGTTTATTAATAAGATTCCATTTTATTTTGCCAGACTGCCATGCAATGTGACAGAACAGGACCAAACTGAACATGGCCTTTATTAGATTAAAGTGTTTTCAAATAATACCTCAGTCAAACCCAATGAATGCACTGTTGCTTTCCATCCATCCATCCATCCATCCATTTTCTACCCTTTAATCCATTTCTGGGTCAGGGGGGTGGCAGTCAGAGATTAGCCACCCAAGTCTCATAGCACCAGCCCCTCACTGACCCTCTGCAGGTGGTGAGTCCACAGGAGGACGGCTGCTCTCTGAGTGTGAGCATAGCCTTGATCTTTCAGTGGGGGCATTGGGCAAAGTGGGGTTAAGTGTCTTGCCCAAGGACACAACGACAGCAGTCATCAGTGGGAGTCGGTGGAGAAGGTGCAGAGGTGGGAATGAACCCACGACCTTCTGGCCTTAAGGCCAATGCTCTACCAACTGAGCTACTGTCGCCCAACTTTTTTAATAATCTAGGATGGAGAGAACTTTAGTCTTGAAAATGAGTGCCCAGTAACAGAGACACAATACTACTACACAAGTGACATTCGATAACTGCATCAGAACAAAAACCAAAAAATTAGGCAATGACTGTAAATATCTTTTAAAATTCATGCTTTTTACTAGAAACAACCATGTACACAAACCCATAGGCCTTTTTAACTGCAGTACATACATATACTAGTAGAGTAAAAATAACTACTTATCTTATAAGTACATTCATTGTTATAGAGTAATTATCCGCCTTCCAATGACGAGCACGGCCGATTCGGAATTTGGTAATTGCACTGAAACGTAGCTTTGTATCGTTGCAAACTGGTTCAAGTATCCTCACACACAAAGGCCTCCGCTGCATAACTTGTGGTAAAGGCTCAGTCAAAAGAACCCCCATGCTGATGAGTGGGATTTCTCTTGTGTGCGGTGTTGGACACGATAACAGTTATTCTGCACACTTACGCTGCAGGCCTGTGGCTAGCGTCTACAAAAGGTGGGACTGGTGCAGAAAAATATCCACTGGAGATTAAATGAGATTCATCACAAACGTACGAGAGTGTTCTTAGTGTCGTCCAGGATGTTAAGTCCTGGGTCAGTGTGGACGCGCTGTAAGAATGCCAATAATAATATCAGATGTCTCGCATAACTGAGAGTACGCAACAAATCCCGTAATTGTATAACCAAGTCACACTTTTGTGTCTTTCTTAGAATCGCATTTAACTGAAACAAGCAGATAGTTAATTTGTTAACAACAGAGTCAATAACACGTAAAAATACACTGTGAAATTACAGAATTCTGAAAAAGATACTTACGCCGTAATATATCGGAAAAGTAATCTACAGAGTTATGTAATCTTTGGCAATTAAAACTGCGGCGCCAGACTTAAACAAACACTATGCAGAAATAATAAAGGAGAAAAAAAATATAAGAAAAATAGAAAAAATAAACTTGTTTTCCTCGTCAATAGGATGTAAAAATTATATAAAAATCGATAATCTTAAGAATTTTTTGTACAAAAAAATAATAAATTAAAAAAACATATAATTGATAACCCCCCCCCCACACATCACAATCATCCAGCCCCCCCCCCAACCCCCCTGTCCCCCCACTGACTTACCACGCTCCCCTCCTCGTCCCCGGGCTGCGCCCGCAACTTTCCCCTTCGCCCTCCACTCCCCCCAGCTCCAACACATAATCAAAAGCACCAGAAACCTAACCAGCATGCATACAATGTGCCGCCCTCCCAACCACCCCCATTCCCCCATTACCACAGGGTGACTGAACCAAAAATTAAACGTAAGCCAATAAGACTCATACGACACCCCCCCCCCCCCCCCCCCCCCCCCCCCCCCCCCCCCCCCCCCCCCCCCCCCCCCCCCCCCCCCCCCCCCCCCCCCCCCCCCCCCCCCCCCCCCCCCCCCCCCCCCCCCCCCCCCCCCCCCCCCCCCCCCCCCCCCCCCCCCCCCCCCCCCCCCCCCCCCCCCCCCCCCCCCCCCCCCCCCCCCCCCCCCCCCCCCCCCCCCCCCCCCCCCCCCCCCCCCCCCCCCCCCCCCCCCCCCCCCCCCCCCCCCCCCCCCCCCCCCCCCCCCCCCCCCCCCCCCCCCCCCCCCCCCCCCCCCCCCCCCCCCCCCCCCCCCCCCCCCCCCCCCCCCCCCCCCCCCCCCCCCCCCCCCCCCCCCCCCCCCCCCCCCCCCCCCCCCCCCCCCCCCCCCCCCCCCCCCCCCCCCCCCCCCCCCCCCCCCCCCCCCCCCCCCCCCCCCCCCCCCCCCCCCCCCCCCCCCCCCCCCCCCCCCCCCCCCCCCCCCCCCCCCCCCCCCCCCCCCCCCCCCCCCCCCCCCCCCCCCCCCCCCCCCCCCCCCCCCCCCCCCCCCCCCCCCCCCCCCCCCCCCCCCCCCCCCCCCCCCCCCCCCCCCCCCCCCCCCCCCCCCCCCCCCCCCCCCCCCCCCCCCCCCCCCCCCCCCCCCCCCCCCCCCCCCCCCCCCCCCCCCCCCCCCCCCCCCCCCCCCCCCCCCCCCCCCCCCCCCCCCCCCCCCCCCCCCCCCCCCCCCCCCCCCCCCCCCCCCCCCCCCCCCCCCCCCCCCCCCCCCCCCCCCCCCCCCCCCCCCCCCCCCCCCCCCCCCCCCCCCCCCCCCCCCCCCCCCCCCCCCCCCCCCCCCCCCCCCCCCCCCCCCCCCCCCCCCCCCCCCCCCCCCCCCCCCCCCCCCCCCCCCCCCCCCCCCCCCCCCCCCCCCCCCCCCCCCCCCCCCCCCCCCCCCCCCCCCCCCCCCCCCCCCCCCCCCCCCCCCCCCCCCCCCCCCCCCCCCCCCCCCCCCCCCCCCCCCCCCCCCCCCCCCCCCCCCCCCCCCCCCCCCCCCCCCCCCCCCCCCCCCCCCCCCCCCCCCCCCCCCCCCCCCCCCCCCCCCCCCCCCCCCCCCCCCCCCCCCCCCCCCCCCCCCCCCCCCCCCCCCCCCCCCCCCCCCCCCCCCCCCCCCCCCCCCCCCCCCCCCCCCCCCCCCCCCCCCCCCCCCCCCCCCCCCCCCCCCCCCCCCCCCCCCCCCCCCCCCCCCCCCCCCCCCCCCCCCCCCCCCCCCCCCCCCCCCCCCCCCCCCCCCCCCCCCCCCCCCCCCCCCCCCCCCCCCCCCCCCCCCCCCCCCCCCCCCCCCCCCCCCCCCCCCCCCCCCCCCCCCCCCCCCCCCCCCCCCCCCCCCCCCCCCCCCCCCCCCCCCCCCCCCCCCCCCCCCCCCCCCCCCCCCCCCCCCCCCCCCCCCCCCCCCCCCCCCCCCCCCCCCCCCCCCCCCCCCCCCCCCCCCCCCCCCCCCCCCCCCCCCCCCCCCCCCCCCCCCCCCCCCCCCCCCCCCCCCCCCCCCCCCCCCCCCCCCCCCCCCCCCCCCCCCCCCCCCCCCCCCCCCCCCCCCCCCCCCCCCCCCCCCCCCCCCCCCCCCCCCCCCCCCCCCCCCCCCCCCCCCCCCCCCCCCCCCCCCCCCCCCCCCCCCCCCCCCCCCCCCCCCCCCCCCCCCCCCCCCCCCCCCCCCCCCCCCCCCCCCCCCCCCCCCCCCCCCCCCCCCCCCCCCCCCCCCCCCCCCCCCCCCCCCCCCCCCCCCCCCCCCCCCCCCCCCCCCCCCCCCCCCCCCCCCCCCCCCCCCCCCCCCCCCCCCCCCCCCCCCCCCCCCCCCCCCCCCCCCCCCCCCCCCCCCCCCCCCCCCCCCCCCCCCCCCCCCCCCCCCCCCCCCCCCCCCCCCCCCCCCCCCCCCCCCCCCCCCCCCCCCCCCCCCCCCCCCCCCCCCCCCCCCCCCCCCCCCCCCCCCCCCCCCCCCCCCCCCCCCCCCCCCCCCCCCCCCCCCCCCCCCCCCCCCCCCCCCCCCCCCCCCCCCCCCCCCCCCCCCCCCCCCCCCCCCCCCCCCCCCCCCCCCCCCCCCCCCCCCCCCCCCCCCCCCCCCCCCCCCCCCCCCCCCCCCCCCCCCCCCCCCCCCCCCCCCCCCCCCCCCCCCCCCCCCCCCCCCCCCCCCCCCCCCCCCCCCCCCCCCCCCCCCCCCCCCCCCCCCCCCCCCCCCCCCCCCCCCCCCCCCCCCCCCCCCCCCCCCCCCCCCCCCCCCCCCCCCCCCCCCCCCCCCCCCCCCCCCCCCCCCCCCCCCCCCCCCCCCCCCCCCCCCCCCCCCCCCCCCCCCCCCCCCCCCCCCCCCCCCCCCCCCCCCCCCCCCCCCCCCCCCCCCCCCCCCCCCCCCCCCCCCCCCCCCCCCCCCCCCCCCCCCCCCCCCCCCCCCCCCCCCCCCCCCCCCCCCCCCCCCCCCCCCCCCCCCCCCCCCCCCCCCCCCCCCCCCCCCCCCCCCCCCCCCCCCCCCCCCCCCCCCCCCCCCCCCCCCCCCCCCCCCCCCCCCCCCCCCCCCCCCCCCCCCCCCCCCCCCCCCCCCCCCCCCCCCCCCCCCCCCCCCCCCCCCCCCCCCCCCCCCCCCCCCCCCCCCCCCCCCCCCCCCCCCCCCCCCCCCCCCCCCCCCCCCCCCCCCCCCCCCCCCCCCCCCCCCCCCCCCCCCCCCCCCCCCCCCCCCCCCCCCCCCCCCCCCCCCCCCCCCCCCCCCCCCCCCCCCCCCCCCCCCCCCCCCCCCCCCCCCCCCCCCCCCCCCCCCCCCCCCCCCCCCCCCCCCCCCCCCCCCCCCCCCCCCCCCCCCCCCCCCCCCCCCCCCCCCCCCCCCCCCCCCCCCCCCCCCCCCCCCCCCCCCCCCCCCCCCCCCCCCCCCCCCCCCCCCCCCCCCCCCCCCCCCCCCCCCCCCCCCCCCCCCCCCCCCCCCCCCCCCCCCCCCCCCCCCCCCCCCCCCCCCCCCCCCCCCCCCCCCCCCCCCCCCCCCCCCCCCCCCCCCCCCCCCCCCCCCCCCCCCCCCCCCCCCCCCCCCCCCCCCCCCCCCCCCCCCCCCCCCCCCCCCCCCCCCCCCCCCCCCCCCCCCCCCCCCCCCCCCCCCCCCCCCCCCCCCCCCCCCCCCCCCCCCCCCCCCCCCCCCCCCCCCCCCCCCCCCCCCCCCCCCCCCCCCCCCCCCCCCCCCCCCCCCCCCCCCCCCCCCCCCCCCCCCCCCCCCCCCCCCCCCCCCCCCCCCCCCCCCCCCCCCCCCCCCCCCCCCCCCCCCCCCCCCCCCCCCCCCCCCCCCCCCCCCCCCCCCCCCCCCCCCCCCCCCCCCCCCCCCCCCCCCCCCCCCCCCCCCCCCCCCCCCCCCCCCCCCCCCCCCCCCCCCCCCCCCCCCCCCCCCCCCCCCCCCCCCCCCCCCCCCCCCCCCCCCCCCCCCCCCCCCCCCCCCCCCCCCCCCCCCCCCCCCCCCCCCCCCCCCCCCCCCCCCCCCCCCCCCCCCCCCCCCCCCCCCCCCCCCCCCCCCCCCCCCCCCCCCCCCCCCCCCCCCCCCCCCCCCCCCCCCCCCCCCCCCCCCCCCCCCCCCCCCCCCCCCCCCCCCCCCCCCCCCCCCCCCCCCCCCCCCCCCCCCCCCCCCCCCCCCCCCCCCCCCCCCCCCCCCCCCCCCCCCCCCCCCCCCCCCCCCCCCCCCCCCCCCCCCCCCCCCCCCCCCCCCCCCCCCCCCCCCCCCCCCCCCCCCCCCCCCCCCCCCCCCCCCCCCCCCCCCCCCCCCCCCCCCCCCCCCCCCCCCCCCCCCCCCCCCCCCCCCCCCCCCCCCCCCCCCCCCCCCCCCCCCCCCCCCCCCCCCCCCCCCCCCCCCCCCCCCCCCCCCCCCCCCCCCCCCCCCCCCCCCCCCCCCCCCCCCCCCCCCCCCCCCCCCCCCCCCCCCCCCCCCCCCCCCCCCCCCCCCCCCCCCCCCCCCCCCCCCCCCCCCCCCCCCCCCCCCCCCCCCCCCCCCCCCCCCCCCCCCCCCCCCCCCCCCCCCCCCCCCCCCCCCCCCCCCCCCCCCCCCCCCCCCCCCCCCCCCCCCCCCCCCCCCCCCCCCCCCCCCCCCCCCCCCCCCCCCCCCCCCCCCCCCCCCCCCCCCCCCCCCCCCCCCCCCCCCCCCCCCCCCCCCCCCCCCCCCCCCCCCCCCCCCCCCCCCCCCCCCCCCCCCCCCCCCCCCCCCCCCCCCCCCCCCCCCCCCCCCCCCCCCCCCCCCCCCCCCCCCCCCCCCCCCCCCCCCCCCCCCCCCCCCCCCCCCCCCCCCCCCCCCCCCCCCCCCCCCCCCCCCCCCCCCCCCCCCCCCCCCCCCCCCCCCCCCCCCCCCCCCCCCCCCCCCCCCCCCCCCCCCCCCCCCCCCCCCCCCCCCCCCACCCCCCCCCTCCCCCCCCCCCCCCCCCCCCCCCCCCCCCCCCCCCCCCCCCCCCCCCCCCCCCCCCCCCCCCCCCCCCCCCCCCCCCCCCCCCCCCCCCCCCCCCCCCCCCCACACCCGCCCCCCCTCCTCCCCCCCCGCGATCACTCTCACAAACCCGCACCCTCCCCCACCCCCTGCCCCCCCGGCCCCCTCCCCTCGCTCTCCCATGACTACTACCTCCTCTTAACCCACCATCCCACATCAACCGAGATCTCCGAATAAACAGTCGAACCAAAACCCTCGCTCCCGACCACCCGCGCTATAACTGTTTTTGAAATGAAAGAACTCCACCCAGCGCTCCCCCTCCCTACCCCACTCTACGGCCCCATCCACCTCACGACACCACACCCTAACCGCACCACGCCTACGCTAACTAACCCCAACTCGCAACCCCAACCCTCCAATCTAACCCTCGCCGCCGCGCAAGAGTACTGCGCAGATAACCCACTCCCCGCTCCATTACCGACCTACCCCGACCCGCCCCCACAGCCCACCAAAGCACCCCCCCCTCGCCCCCTGCATCATCATTGCGCCCCCCACCCCGCCCCAAACTAGCCGACCCAATTGCCAGTCCCACCCTAATGCAAGCATCCAGGAAATACCACCCCACACACCACCCTCCCGCCCCACGCCACCGAACACTCTAAGGGTAATCACCAAAATAAAAGATTCGTCACACCGCCGCCCCTCCCTCCGTCGACCAGCACTTCCCCCGCTTCCCCGACGCCCGCCCCTCACCCCCCACCCCCCCTTTTTTTCTTTGTATTTGGAACACTTAAAGGAACTAGTCATATAACCACGGACCTCCCCCTGCCCCACAATCCCCTCCTGCAATACAGCCCACGAATTTTTCAACTCCGTAGTGTACAGAGGCCAGTCCACCCCCCCCGATACTACTCGCCTCCCCCAGACACAGCACCAGCACCCACCCTCCCACTCTCATACCTCTTCAGCCAAAGAGTCAAAAGCACTTCCAGAATAAGCACCCCTCCCGCTCCCTGCATTAAACACAAAACCACCGCAACCCACCCCCGCCGCCCCCCGCCCACACCCCTCCCACCGCACGCCCACCACCTCCGCCCCCCCCACCACCCGTCCCTCTCTCAACCCCCCCCTGCCCCCAACCTGCTCCCCCCCCCTAATAGACAATCACAGCCCAACAAACCATTTGATAAGATCAAACTCGCGCGACATCAAGATAACATACTATCCAACACCCCCGCCCAACCATGCCATCAGTGACCCCATTATCTTCACCTTTCCACAACCCCCCTGCCACCCCCTCCACACCGTCCCCCCGCACCCCACAGGTGCCCCCAACCCCTCCCCACCCCCGGAAAATGATCCACCACAACAAGTACTTTCGTTGTAAACCACTCACACCCGCACCTTCCCACACCCTCCTCCTACCCGAGGAATACACAAGAGCCACCGAGCCCCCACCTCCCCCACCCCCACGCTCCCCACTCTGCCCCGGGCCTCGTGCCCAACCCCCCACCTTCCCCTCACAGAATGAGCCAAACCCTCCTCCCCCACCACCCCCCTCCCCTCGACCACCCCCCGCCTTCCACCCCAACCACACCATCACCCCCCCGCTCGCTCGCCACCCCCCCTACACCTCGTACCCACCCCTCCTCCCCACTCCCCTTCCGCACGCGCCGTATCCCTCCCTCACTTCTCCCCCCCCCGACCCCGCCACCCCACCACCCCCGGTTACGCGAGCCCTGCCCCCCCCCCAGGAACAGCATCATCGTCAAGGACAACCATCTCTCCTCCCCCCCCCCCCCTTCGCTTCACCACCCAACTACGTTTCTACGCCAACACTTCACACCCCCCCTCCAGACCGTCGGGCTCCCGCCCCTCCGCCACCGCCCAGGGGTATTAGACAAATACAGCCAAGAACGACGTTCAACAACAACACAACCACCAGTGCTCAATCAATTCCCGCCAGGGCAAACACTCCCCCTATCCTCTCCCCCCCCCCCTCACACACCACCTCCCTCCCCTCATCACGCCTGTCTACCTACACCCTCCTCCCCCTCCGCCGCGCTCTTATCCTCCAATCATCCAAGAAGCTCTCGAATCCGCCATCCACAGCACAGAAACACCAACCCAAACCGAGCCCCCAGCTCACCCTCCCCACCCCCCACCGTCCCTACCGCCCATCCACTCTGGCCCATCCACCTGCACCCCCCCCCTCCAAACACGCCTCCCACTCCCTACGCAGCTAGCTCCCCCCCCACTACGCCCCACCACCCCCCGCTCACCGAAC